CCCGGGAGCAGCAGGGCTGGTGACACAGCAGGAGGGACGGTGGCTTGGCCCGAAGAGTAGCGTCACATCTCCCTGGCCTCTCGGGGCTCCGCAGGGGATGGGGACACTGGGCCAACCCTGCGAAAACTCCGGCGGCACCCAGGTCCTGCTCGGGACCCTGATGATGACTTCCCCAGGGATGCTGGAGGCACCATCGCTCCATCCCTCCTGCCACCACCCGCTCCAGCCCACGGCATCAAGAGCCTCCAGCAGCGGGGACATGGGACATCGGCAGCGTGTCAGATCACTTTATTGCCACAGTGGCCACGGGCCAGACCCAGCACCCAGAGAGGGTCTGGGTCCAGCCCCTTGACCCTTCTAATACTGTAAAGAAGATAAACCCCGAGGGTCCACGGCCGGGCACTGAGCATCCTCCATCCCAGCCACAACGGAACAGCTCTAGGGCATCACTCCCATCCTGCTGCCCATGCCTCCAGGAGCGAGGAGGAGCGAGGTGAGACCAAGGGAGCAGCAGGAGCTGCCACCACGTCCTGTCCTGGGGGAAGGTGCTGGCACTGGGGGAGCAGCACGAGCCCCCTCGGCCCCCTCAAACCTCCATGCCAGGAGCCCGTCCCAAGCCCAGCGCTTGCACCAGGTCATCGCTGAGCCCGCTCTTCAGCGTCCTCCTCACTGCAGGAAGAGAAGGTGGCAATGGCAGCACGAGCAGGGTCACCAGCCTGCCCAGACATGGTGGCCCTGGCATGCTGGGGGGGGGCAACAGGGTGCAGTGGTATGGTCTGGTCTCAGGGTGCCCCCTTGGGACATCAGGGGTATCCCTGATGGGGATGGGGATGAGGACACAGAGATGGGACAGAGTACAGGGATGGGGTAGAGCATGGGGACAGATGGGACAGCTCATGGGGACAGGGATGGGACTTACAGGACTTCCTATTGCCGCGGGACCTCCTGCGCTCCTTGTTGGGGCAGGGCCGGGGGTTGGCGTTGTGAGTCACCGATTTCACCAGCCGGTCCATGATTTCATCCGAAGCATCATCTGGGGAGCTGGGAACATCCTCCTGGGCTGGAGAACCCTGGGCTGGGCTGACGTGCCCTGTCCCTGCATGGGGACAA